ACGAAAAGAGGAAATGAAATAGATTGTGAAACGCATATGTTTATTATAAAAAGTTAAGAAGATGTAAGGAGGACATGAAGGGAAGCTAAATGTGAACCTGGCTGTCTGTGTTTCATCCCTAAGCTACAAACACATTGACCCGACAGAGGTGCACCCCGGCGTTTGGGAACATTTTGGTAACAGTACAGACACAGTACACCAACAAGGACTGCCCAGACGGTCTTTTCATTAGTGCTACATGATTACTGTAAGTATTACGATTTTACCGCCAAACATAATCATATAATTATAAAAACATGCATGAGAAGCTAATACCGAGAGTTCGAAAATGAATTTATAGTTCTGGCCTAGTTATAACAGAACATATGCCAGACAAGTTGTGTGAAGGACGGAGGGTGGGAGGAGTGCAAACATCGATCAGCTCCACGTAGTATACGCCAGACAACTTCGCTCCAAGGGCAAGAAGGAAGGAGGGAAGGTGAGGGGAAGAAAATGCCAAAGGAGGTAAGAATGCAGGATTTTTTTTCGTAAAAATGTGAAAAAAGTGATTTTGGCGAATCCGTAGACCAGGATAGAGCCGTAGCCCAGGCTTCCCTCTCCTCATAGCCAAACCACTCCCCAAAGAAAAACCAAAAAAAGACCTACAAAATTCCCCGTGGTACTTCAGTGACATCGCTCCCTTGAGTGGCAAGAAATAGTACGCATTTGTGGAGGGGTACAGAGATGAAGAGTGTGGTGCGTCGCCCATCGGAGTGGTTTCATCACCCCAGAAAAAAACGCACTCGGCACTCCTACATTACCGCCCAGTTTTACTCAATTTTGAGTTAATAGCTCGGGGAGGGGAAGGGTTCTGGCTGCAGGGTCACTGGGTCCTGGATGGGGTTGGGTGCTGTGATGCCGTAGCAAATTCCAATCGATCAGTGGTGATTTTCGTGACGATACACACTTCAGATGCCTGTACATTCGCAGCGTTGGACTGGGTTTGCCTCTGGGGTCAAGGGTCACGGCATACCGAACTTCGAAGGTGGGCCTTTCACTCTGTCCATTCCTGAGAGCAGAACTCTGGAATGTTCACCATTGTTATAACGCAGCGTCATCGGACGAGATGGTGGCTTCTCCAAGAAATCATGAAAATTACTCGAATATAGCTTGTGTTTATGTCGAATTTTCGTTGAATTTTTATTTTAAATTTCTAATTTTAGTAAAAATCCCGCGATTTTGGCAATTTTTTAATTTCAGCCAAAATCCCGGCGACTTCGACATTCGCTGTGAGCTTTCCAAGTGATTAGCGTGAATTTTGATCTAAAATTGTGGGATACGGGAACCTAAAAACTGTTTTCTGAAATATGCGCGTGAGCTACTGGATTTGGATTAAAACCTGGGATTCGTAGTTCCATGACCTGCCGAGTTTTTTTCCCTACCCGCTGGCTTCGGGTTTTAAAAGCGGATTAGCGCGGGAAAGGTAAAATGAGTGTTATTTCTGGAATACGGGTACTGATAATCGTGATTATGGAAGAAGGGAGTTTCTAGATTATTAGAAGACTTTTATGACGATTTGGTTGGATTATCTGGATATACACGCATAAATAAATGCATAATACATGCAAACATATACATGCACACATACATATACATACACACATACATATACATACACACACATACACACATACATATACATACACACATGCATATACCTACACACATATACATACACTCATACATATACATACACACACATATATATACATCCACACACATATACATCCACACATATATATCGGTCGGTGTATGTCAGTGTACATACATATGTCGGTGTACGATGCCGATGTACATACATACATAAATACAAAAATACATACACACGTACGTACATACATACATGCACCCATACATATGTATACATACATACTGTATGGATACACACATACCTATCTCATGCACATACATGTGCACCGACATTTCACATGCACACATACACACGTACCACACATACACACTTTTTGTACATACATACATACACAAATACACACTCATTTTTTTGTACATACATACACAAATACATACACATGTACATATGTACATAGGTACCACACATACACACTTCACATACAAACATACATGTATAGATGCTTGAATTTATAGTCCAATCGTGAAGCATTTTAAGTTTATGCGAAAGTTTATGATTTTTGTTGGGTGTGTGTTCACTGATAGAGCGAGGAAACATTGCTCGATAAAAGTGCCCTTCCTGGGTGATGATGATGATGAATCATTCGTCCAAAGAACTACCAAAGTGCTGTGCTCTCGAGGCGGACGGGGTTGCTGTTGCGTTTGCCCCTCTCGAATATCTCTCTGCCCGGTCCCCTGGCTACTCATTTGTTGACCACTGTGACACATTGTTGACCAACACTCCTCCAGAAAGGGGGTTAAAGCTCGGCTCGGCTCGACCGCGCACTCATTTTTGGGTTCGAGTTTAAACTACAGATGTCCTGGTACCGGGCTTTTTTTCTGAGTGACACCTCAGGTGCCGCATTTAAAACTGTTAACTCCCCCTCAGTGTATCATGTGTT